CCTCATGGTCAAGGTTCATGAGCACAGCAGGTTCCCTAAGTACCTAGCCTTAGTCATGTTGTACCAAGCTGGCCAAAACGACATCACCACCGCAGAAGTGTGGCAGGTACAGTCTTCTAAACAAATTTGGCGAACTGGGTATTGTAAGCAAGTTGTCTTGTGTACATATCATTTTAAGGGCAACCTAGTGACGAGGCTCTTGCTAAAGCAGGGTCTGAAAAGTCTAATAGTCATATATTTTCTGGATGCAGGCGGATTGCCAGCAATGGAGGGGTATGCGAAAGGCCTACGGTGCAGTATGGAACATGGCTAACCCACCAGCAGGGGCACTTAACTTCAGGGTCCAAGTAAGTGGCAGTGCAGGGTTGAAGTGGGTGCAGCTGAGTAGTGTGATTCCTAGTGAATGGAAAGCTGGGGCTGTTTATGACACAACCATTCAGCTTACTTAAGCCCTATTAAACTCCTAATCCCAATGAAAACAAATATATCTTAGTATATACAGAGTAGGAGCCGCTTATTAATTATTTCCAAGTAGTTTTGATTAAGTGATTAAAGTTATGTTTGCCTACGGTGTTAGAGCTAGTGCTCTTCACCTTTCTCAATAAAGAATCAGATTGTGTACTATATTTATTTCACATGCAAATAATGCAGCTAAAAGAGTGTGGACCCAACTAACTCTCAACCCTATCCAAACTCTTGGTGATAGTCTACGATTTTATCGTTAAAAAATAAGAGTTAACAACCTTTTAAATAAAAAATTTCAAAGGCCAGCTCACAATCAAGCTAATTTGCAAAAGAAACTAAACAAAACGCCGATCTTATGTAAGAGTAAAGGGTATTGCTATTGCAAGCAATTTGTCACTCCTAAATAATCATCACGTTAAACAAATATGAGAAACATAAAGTTGCAACGCGGAAACACTACAAAAAAAAGTCACTTACATCATAACTCTTCCACAAAATTCACATGTACAAATTCCAAATCAGCAAAACATGGAAAAAGTGCCATCATTCCAAACTATAGAAGGTTACCAGGTTAGCGCTTCAGAATTCTCTCCACAAAATCACTAATTCAGCACGTGTTATCAGAAAACAACTTGACTACTTGAGAAACCACTGTCAAAAAACTGATGTACAGACTAACGTTTGAGCTACCACTACCTCAGAATATGATACGAACGAACCAACTATTTTAACCCTTCTTTCAATTCTCCTCTTGTTAATATACAAAATATTAACTCCCATTCAAATACCTGTAATAAAACTAACAGATAAAATAATAACTCCCATTCAAGTAACAAATGAAGCTTTAATTCAGTTTCATATGTGCATTCACTGTGTAAAATATGTGTACTATCAGTTACACGAAGGCAAAGTGTCTCCCGTATCAACAACAAAGAAAACACACAGAACAGAACAAAAAATAAAACTGACAATGTTAATGGTTAGCTCAATCTTAAAAAGGGTATTGATATTGCAAGCAATTTGTCACTCCTAAGTAACCATCACATTAAACAAATATGAGAAACATGATGTTGCAATGCAGAAACACTACAAAAAAAAGTCACTTACGTCATAACTCTTCCACAAAATTCACATGTACAAATTCCAAATCAGCAAAACATGAAAAAAGTGCCATCATTCCAAACTATAGAAGGTTACCAGGTTAGCGCTTCAGAATTCTCTCCACAAAATCACTAATTCAGCACGTGTTATCAGAAAACAACTTGACTACTTGAGAAACCACTGTCAAAAAACTGATGTACAGACTAACGTTTGAGCTACCACTACCTCAGAATATGATACGAACGAACCAACTATTTTAACCCTTCTTTCAATTCTCCTCTTGTCTGCTTCCATCAAAAGCAAGTCTTGCCCATCTAAAACCATAAGCAAATCCCTGAAAATTAAGGGATGAGATGTAAAGTTTTTGCATTCATGAATTAGATTCTATATTACTTTAAGCATGAAGAAAATTTTATGATTTGTGAGGGCAGCCAGTTCAAGCAAATAGAGTTGAAGTTATTTCTGTACCGTGTCTTCCCCAGAGGATTACGCTACTTTGTGAATTGGCTAGAAGTAATATCATTTTATATCTATAAAGTATGATCATAAATAAAAACTAGTAACAACATGATTTTGGGAAACTATCATAATGATAATGACATAATTAGATAACTGTTCAAGGTGTCAACATCAAGAAAACATGATCACAGATGAGAGACATAAAAATGCTGGAAGAAAGACCCTCAAAGTTACAACATGCAAAAATCAAGACATAATATCTTTTAGTTTGATTGAAATAACTAATAATTTCAGAAACATGGAAGAGGAAGATGATGCACACAGCCAATCCCCATGGCAAAGTTACAGTGCTGCAGGAGTACAGTAGCCTGTAGCCTGTAGCCAGTGACAAACACCCACAGCAACCTCTCAGCCAAGGTTGCCTCCAACCCAAATGACAATTTGGAGGTGCAAAGTATGAGTTACATGTAACTCAATCACAGCTCACATACATACCAACAAGCACAAGGAGATATTGTAAAACATTGTATATTGTAATCTGTTAAGGTCCTGCAATCTTTGTTTATGTAACTTTATGTCATCTTGAAAAGTTTAGCAGTGTTGGGTGTGTTTCAGTTCATGAAAATGATAATTGTCTGTATGTGTGCATCCATATCTTCTTGCTTCTGTTGAGGCATCCCAAGTACATGCTGAAACTAATTCAATATACAGCCTAACACAGAGAGTAGATAATAAATCAAGTTCCACAACAAAGTAGTCAACGAGAACTTACATTAAGACACAAGGAATCTCTACTTCTGGAAAACCCCAAACTTTGTTCCCTGCATCAATACATCCTGCCAGTGCACTCTGCAGCACCACAATAGCAGCTCTTCATCTTAATATTTCCATTCAAATCTCGAACCTGATTGACAAAGTAATTATAGTGGTAAGTCAGCTCCTTCAAGGGAGGAATGTTTTCTGCAGCAAAGAGCATTATGTGGGGTTTACTCTTGTCCTCGTGATCATAGAGGACATTCTGAGCATAAAGGTTAGGGGAACAACTATGGTTGATGAACCTCCCCACATTCCCACACTCTGCTGCATCGATTGTGAAACGCTCATCCTCCACAACTTCACTAGAACTTAGCTGCACAACAGGCTTGAGAGTCAAAAGTCCACCAATGAGAGAACAGTCACTGAAATTGTGTCCGATATCAAACAAGTATTCATCATTTTTTCTTTTTTCAGCTTCCTTGTCTTCAAGAAGCTCCCCAATATACTCGCATATAAAACTTCCTGAAAGAATAGAAGTTAGGGATCTAACACCCCAGCCCCTTGACTTCGTTTTGAAGATTTCAAGCTGTATTTTCATGCCATGCTGACTGACTTTATTATAGCAAGAAGGAGGGCATTTGCAAGAATGACCACACTCATATACCAGAGGCTTTGCTTCAATGATCACCCCATTGTAGTTGTATGGAATCTTTCCTCCATTATTGAACATGCATGAGCATTTTTTAGAGTCCAAGCATCCACCGATACAATCACAACCCTTGGGAGCAGTAGGGCAGTACCAATCAGGATATTTCATCTCAGTTATATAATTGAATTTGGGTGGTCTCTTATTGTCTATGGTGTTCACAGCACAAATTGAAAATAACTCGTTCCCTCCTGATGTATCACCAACACAAAGACCATCTCGAATTTTAAATCTTTTTGATTTCTTCACTTCTTTCCAAGCAAGCTCTGGTTGGCCTGGAATTCTCTTCAACTCGAACTTAAAAAGCAGCTTACCATGTGGCCCTACATCATGCATGTATCTCTCCAATGTATACAAGCCATCATAAGTATATGTCAGAACAATCTTGGCTCTTGCATCCAAGGTAGATAATTTTGTCTCTTTAGAACCACGGATTACCCAAACAGGATTCTTTGCTGATATACTATTTTTCAGAGCCAAGTTTCCTTTTTCAAGTTTCTGGCCTTCAGGTTGTTGTTTATCCTGACCAGTTATATTTCCTCCATGACCAGAGTATATTAAAACATCAGGGTTGTCCAAATCATCTGCATAAACACCTAAGGCAACAATGCTTGTTGCAATGATCATCCCCGCCATGTTTCATGTAATCAATACCAGCCTGATAGAGACGATGAATGCCAACAAGAGCAAGCTCCACCCTGTATTGAAACTCATCACCTACATCAACTCTCGACACTGATCCTATTATCTGTTTGCCTGTGTTAACTTCTTTTCCTTTAGCTCTGATAATCTGTGCTACTTTCAGATCAGGCCTTCTGCTCAGGTATCCTTGTTTCTTCAAATTTGCTTCTTCTCCTTGCAAGAGCTTCCTACAAATAGCTTGGAATAGACGTTGTGTTTCCCTCACTTTGTTACGCACATTACCATGACTCGAGCTATCAAGACCAAAAGGAGGCAGAATCACCTGAAAATCATGTGGTCTCTGACCTGCAGGGGAATCTTCATCTTGCTCACATATGGAAAAATCTCCCTTATCCTTGACAACCTGTGCACCTTTATTTTCATATGAAGCATTTCCAGAAAGAAGCAATTTCTTCTTCATATCCCTCTTTTTGGAATTTCTATCTCGAACATGCCTGTCCAATTCTTCAATGCCAGTCCTTGCTGTCTTTCTCACTAGACTGCATTCCTCTTTAGCTCTCACTGTCTCTCTTGACAGCGAACCCTGCACAGCAGCCTCAACTGGAGCAATTGAAGTCTTGTTTCCCAAGACAATTCTCAGATGCTCTTCTTCAGTCGGACAAATGACATTAATTCCGCAAAAAGGAGGGAATTCACGAATAGCTCTAACCCTTCTCCTAAAATATTTAGCTTTCAGGTTAGTCTCTTTCAAAACATTGCCATCACTAATAGGCCACTCTGGAGGAAACCATGTTTTTGCACCACCTGATGGAACCACCCCATCATCCATAGAAACAATCTCCAACACAATTTTGCTTTCTGGTGCACCCTCACTCTTCACCACAGCCTAAACTTTCACTTCGTGCAACTCCTTTGACAATTCTAGTGCATTATTTTCTAAAGCTTTTGGCAAGCCACTTCCTAGAGGCACAACAACAGGGGACAATTCAGCCCCATTGACCTTCCCAGCCGCAACCACTACCTTCCCCAACAAATCACTCAATATGTCGGGCAATTCCAACTTCACCGAACCTTCCACCAATTGACAAGATGATGATTCGTTCCCCATTTCAGAAGCTTTGACACAATCACCCTCTACAACTTTCACCATCTTTTCATCAGCCACCAAATTCTCTTTATCACCCAGTGATGCTACTACCTCAGTATCCTGGGGCATCAGATTAATAAATGAAGCATTCTGTCCACACCCATGCGGAAAATGGTGAACAGCATAAACCTTTCGCTTCTTGTACTTAAGCGAAACACTAGGAGAGATGCAATAACCATTGTACAATGACCTCTTGTTAGAACTCCCATCAAATAAATCACCATTTGATAAGGGACCCATCCTCCTCAATAACTAGCAAGCAAACTGGCTTTTTGTTGTCGTCAAGAAAAAATGCAGCAAGGACTGGCATTGAAGAATTGGACAGGGATGTCCCCCCTGATATATCACCAACACAAAGACCCTCCCGAATTTTAAATCTTTTTGATTTCTTCACTTCTTTCCAAGCAAAGCTCTGGTTGGCCTGGAATTCCCTTCAACTCGAACTTAAAAACCAACTTATCATGTGGCCCTACATCATGCATGTATCTGTCTACTGTATACAAGCCATCATAAGTATATGTCAGAACAATCTTGGCTCTTGCATCCAAGGTAGATAATTTTGTCTCTTTAGAACCACGGATTACCCGAACAGGATTCTTTGCTGATATACTATTTTTCAGAGCCAAGTTTCCTTTTTCAAGTTTCTGGCCTTCAGGTTGTTGTTTATCCTAACCAGTTATATTTCCTCCATGACCAGAGTATATTAAAACATCAGGGTTGTCCAAATCATCTGCATAACCACCTAAGGCAACAATGCTTGTTGCAATGATCATCCCCGCCATGTTTCATGTAATCAATACCAGCCTGATAGAGACGATGAATGCCAACAAGAGCAAGCTCCACCCTGTATTGAAACTCATCACCTACATCAACTCTCGACACTGATCCTATTATCTGTTTGCCTGTGTTAACTTCTTTTCCTTTAGCTCTGATAATCTGTGCTACTTTCAGATCAGGCCTTCTGCTCAGGTATCCTTGTTTCTTCAAATTTGCTTCTTCTCCTTGCAAGAGCTTCCTACAAATAGCTTGGAATAGACGTTGTGTTTCCCTCACTTTGTTACGCACATTACCTTGACTCAAGCTATCAAGACCAAAAGGAGGCAGAATCACCTGAAAATCATGTGGTCTCTGACCTACAGGGGAATCTTCATCTTGCTCACATATGGAAAAATCTCCCTTATCCTTGACAACCTGTGCACCTTTATTTTCATATGAAGCCTTTCCAGAAGGAAGCAATTTCTTCTTCATATCCCTCTGTTTGGCATTTGTATCTCGAACATCCCTATCCAATTCTTCAATGCCAGTCCTTGATGCATTTTTTCTTGACGACAACAAAAAGCCAGTTTGCTTGCTAGTTATTGAGGAGGATGGGTTCCTTATCAAATGGTGATTTATTTGATGGGAGTTCTAACAAGAGGTCATTATACAATGGTTATTGCACCTCTCCTGGTGTGTCGCTTAAGTACAAGAAGCGAAAGGTTTATGCTGTTCACCATTTTGCTTGCTAGTTATTGAGGATGATGGGTTCCTTATCAAATGGAGATTTATTGGATGGGAGTTCTAACAAGAGGGTGTTCCTTATCAAGCCACTTCCTAGAGGCTCAACAATAGGGGACAATTCAGCCCCATTGACCTTCCCAGCCGCAACCACTACCTTCCCCAACAAATCACTCAATATGTCGGGCAATTCCAACTTCACCGAACCTTCCACCAATTGACAAGATGATGATTCGTTCCCCATTTCAGAAGCTTTGACACAATCACCCTCTACAACTTTCACCATCTTTTCATCAGCCACCAAATTCTCTTTATCACCCAGTGATGCTACTACCTCAGTATCCTGGGGCATCAGATTAATAAATGAAGCATTCTGTCCACACCCATGCGGAAAATGGTGAACAGCATAAACCTTTCGCTTCTTGTACTTAAGCGAAACACTAGGAGAGATGCAATAACCATTGTACAATGACCTCTTGTTAGAACTCCCATCAAATAAATCACCATTTGATAAGGGACCCATCCTCCTCAATAACTAGCAAGCAAACTGGCTTTTTGTTGTCGTCAAGAAAAAATGCAGCAAATAGAAGAATATGTGACGAAAAGAAATACAACAAATGGAAATCAGTGCAGACAAGCTGATGAATATGGACAGATATGAACGGGAAAGAGCAAATAGACAAAATTCATGAGATGTATCTATACATTAAGGTACGAGAAGCTGTGAAACTAAACAAATTAGAGTTGAAATGTAACCAACAATAAATTTAGAACACCTAATATGTTAGAAGTTGCAGTTTTGGTCAAGAGAACACAAACTGGTTAGAAAGGACACCAATCAACACAAACTGATTTGTGTCCGTGACAGTACTTGAATGGAAAGAGTTCTTGCATACCCATTATTTTTGGTAATAGTGGAAATTTCAAATTTGCCTCATGGTTTTCCTCTCTTTCATTGAAGGTTTTCCACATAATGTTTGGTGTTCTATGTGGTTATGTATTTTTTCTTGTCTCTTTAATCCATTGTTGCATTCTTCAATTCACACTTGATAGTGATTGGAAGCATATTTTCCTTAGAGCCAGCCAAACCCAGAACAGAACTAATCTTGGTTGGTTCTCAGTTTTAGACCCTAAACCGAACCAACCCAACTCGAGGAAATTCTAGTTGGATCGGATTTGCCTCGCACGTCTAATTGTGTTGTATAAAGCTTGACCTATTCATTGTTTTATTTTATTACTATAATGCAAAACAATAGAGACTTATCTAGTATCCACATGAGACTTAGTGATAACCAATAACATTCTATTATATGAAGCATACAACTCATTTGGTGTGAACTTTTGTCATACAATTTTGATTACCAAAAAACTACAACAACCCTATATTTCGTTCCAAATATTTACTTTTGCCTAGCGGTTATTGTATCGACTAAAAAGTAAAATCAATTGCTACCCACTACACAAACACAGACTCTCTCTTCACTCTTACCCACCCATAATCTCCATATTGACAGTTTCAAGTGCATGCGATGTGCCCAATTAAACTATAAAACTTATAAAATTTTGTATAAGCTTTTCAAGGATCGGTTCATGGGTTAGTTCGGGTTACCAGTCACCAACCCCACACAGAGCCAAACTGAATTGGTTGAATTTGAAATTTTTTGGCATATAACTGAACAGAAACCAATGCTAGAATTGTAGAACTAAACCAAACCGACCGTTGAAGGCAGGACTGGTTCAGTTCACAGTTTATTTGGTTCTTTTGTGCACCTCTATTTTTCCCAGATGTGAAATAAAACCAATTAGGGTTCAAATGCAACAAAATAAATTACGTTTGGAATTTACCAAACAATAAAAGGATGCCTACCCATTCTAAGAAACAGTTGAAGTGCTTTTTAAGGAGACTAAAATACTGTCAGCTAGAGCACCATTCGACATTGACAGCATTCCCAACAATTAAAGACAGAAAATTGATTGTTTGGGTAGGGGTGTAAATGAGTCGAGTGGAGCCAAACAATAAGTTGTTCAAGTTTGACTTGAACTTAAAAATTTTCAAAAATTGTTCTAACTTGACTTGTTTACCTTCGAACTTTTAATTGAATTGGTAATGAGCTAAGTATGAATAGCTTGGTTTTTGTAGTATATAACTAAGGCATCGTTTGGGGAGTTGGCTATTTTAGTTTTTTACTATTTTAGTAGTCTAAAATATTTGAGTTTGGAAATATGGATAGATTCTTTTTAGTTGAATGTGATATTTGTAAGAGAAAAAGTGAAATGGTTATAGGTTTGATGTAACATCTTGTCTTATTAGTTATTTTAGACTATTTTTATCTTTTTGTGAATTTTAGGCCAAAAAGAAAAAAATAGCATTTGCCAAACAAAGCCTAAGCCAAGACAGTTAGTAAGTTATTCAAGTTCGACTTAAAAACTTAATGAGTTTTAAAACATATTCCAGATAGACTTGCTTCTGTAAGGAGTCAATTTGAAATGGCATTTGACAAACCGAATACAAGTCAAGCTCAGAGTAGCTTGATTCGTATTATGGCCTACGTTATGGTGGCTAAAAAACGAGCATAAATTATTATTTTTTTAAATGAAAAAGGAAATTTATATATATAAATTATATTTTTTAAAAAAAATAAAAAAAAGGAAAATGGTGCTGAGAAACAAGTGATTTACGTGAAAAGAACAATGGCAAAGAGAACCGAGACAGTTCATGCCCAGTATTGATGCATCCTAAGCACGCGAAGACGCAAATTTAACAATATGCAGTTCCAACCGAACTTGAAATGACTCATAACCCATCAAATAGACCACCAATCAACAATAAACATGAGAAATTAACTGATTGGAAGCTGAGAAAGTAAAGAAAGCTTAAACTAACACTAAAAATCAGGTAAACCAAGTAGAAACGCGAAAGAAAACGAGAAATGTAAAGTGATTGAAATTTAACAATATCCAGTTCCAACCTAACTAAAAATGACTCATAACCCATCAGATAGACCTCCAATCAACAATAAACACAAGAAATTAACTGTTTGGCAGACAAGAAAATACTAACGAAAAAAGAAAATGGATGAGAAAGTAAGAAAAAGCTGAAATTAGCACTAAAAATCAACTAATTATGTAGAAACGTACAAGAAAATGAGAAATGTGAAGTGATTCAAACGAAGATTAAAATTAAAACAAATCACAGTTAGAAGAGTAAAAAAAATGAGGTTTAAATCAACCTGATTTTGAGAAGACCAAGAGATTCTTCGAAGGACTTAATGGTGATTCGTCGGTGGACTTCTGCAGAGAGTTGGGATCGAAAATTTAGGGTTTCTTGGTGGAAAATTTATAAGCGTTTCTGGAAAGAACTCCATGAGAGAGTGAAGGAAAAGTTTATGCTTTATATGGAAAATGGGTAGTGAAAGAAGTTAATTTTCATTTGAGCACGAAATGAAAACGGGATTATTAGATGTGTGAAACTGAAAAACCGTTGCGACATTTCAGCAAGACGTCGTCGATCAAGCCCGATTACGCGACTGATTGATTTTAATTAAGAATTTAATTAATTTTAAATTGTATTTTGTTTAGGACACTCAACTAGAATTCTATTGGCTTAATCTTAGATATTTTTGGTTAAAAATATATTATTTGTCCATAAGATATGTCTATCTTTTCAAAATTTATCCGTCTATTTGTCTATTTAAATGTCATATATTTGTATATCAGCAATTATTCACAGCACTAGTGTTCTAATGAAGCACTAACGACATGGTAAGGAAAAAAAAATTAAGACCAAAACATCATATCCAGGGGATGAGATTCACTGCTAACTCATTATAGATGGCTTTAGAGCTCAAGAATTAGAGCTCCAAAGCATTTTTCTTTGTATATATATCACATATTAATTTAATTATTTGTTTAAATGTCAACAATCTGTATACGTGTCACTTATCTATTTATATATTTGTTTAATATCATCAATCTATCCACCTTATTATCACCAGCCGCGGCCGACCGCCACTACCACCACTACCATCAACCATCGGTGACTTTCAGACGACTTTTTTAAAAAAAAATTTGATGATTTTTCCGACGTCAGTGAATTTTCGATATGTATCCTTACCACTTAAAAAAAAATTAAATCTTAAACTAAATAACATATGATCCAATAAAAATGAACTTTGTACTAATTAATCCTTTTGTTTACTCACCTTACAATGTTTGTTAACAAATTCATCTCTGCTCTTTCTTTCTTTCTTTTTTTTTCTTTTATTTTTTTATAATATTTTTAGTATTTTAGGAATGTATCATATTTAGCAAAATTTTTAAATGAAAATTAAATAACCTTCTAAACAAAGCTAAAATTTAACTCATTTGGTCATAGAGCTCACCTCGGTTTACATAATATAATCACATTGGTTAATCTAACATGTGTCTATTGTGAAATTGTGTACATAAATCAAATAAATAGATTCATATTGAGCAACTACTTTGAATTTCAAAATAAGAACATACTAAAATTTACAAAAATTCATAATAAAATAAAACTAGTAGTAGGAAGCAAACCAAAGCCTGTGTGATACCACAGTGTCCTTAAAACAGATTAGCCGCCTCACCATGGATGCTGAAGGTATGTCGACTTCTGTCTCGCAGGATACGACTGTCAAAACCAGCTAATGCAGAAGCACCTTCTGAATAGCTTCGGCGAACTTGATAATGGTTGTACTCTCTCTAACAAGAACCAAAGAAGGGACTAGCAAAAGAAGATAGGACAATTTTCTTTGGTGTAAAACCATCTCCAACTCTTTATCAAAACACCATCTCTATTTTCCATCAAAAAAAAAAAAAAGAAACTTTCAAAACTTACATATTTCAAGTTTGAGGGGAAAGGCCTCTATTTATATAAGTAGGGGAATCCCTAGCCATAAAGGCTATACATCAATAGGTTCATCAAATGCCATTAACCATGGCCATCAATTCTAGCCATTAGGGCTAGAGTTACAAAAGTTGAAAACCTATGGCCACTAATATGGTCATCAACTCCATCATCAAAAGGTGAGAGTTACAAAGGTCTTAACCTCCCATGTGCTTAATATATATAAATAAATATGTATATAATGATGTTTGAATAAACCAACTAGATGGGTCACACAATGGATACCAATGTTGGGTCACAACCCGATCCAAACTCAATTCTCAAACACATGCACAAGCTAAGCCCAACACAACATAACTTAGCTCAAGCTTAAGATTAGGTCCAAGTCTAAGTCCAAGACCAAATCCAACACATGCACAAGCACAAGTACAAGTCTAGGCCCAGTCTAAACTAAGACTAAGTCCAAATCTAAGCCCAACTTTTATTGATGTTCACTTTATGAGACAATTCTCATTCACACCTCAATGGTTTCAGCCCATCATTTTTATATTGTGATCTTCTCACTTGAGAGAATGCAAAACTACTCAGACCCACCTCAACCAGCGGTTGGGTCCCACTTTAATTTCAAATTAAAGTTGTCGAAAAACCATTATTTTCCAATAATCCCCCACATGAATAAAATTGGCCGAATAAAGAAAACGGTCAACGCTTTACAACAAAGACTCAGAGAGAGAGCACACAAAATAATCCTTCATCAGAAAAGGTAGCTGT